TGTATGTATTTATATCATTCATTGAGATACTGTGATATAATTCCTACAAAGTAGATCATTTAAATGTGATGACTTAACTGTATCACTCATTATACTTAGATCGAGTGTGAAACATTTGAAATCTAATGTTTTTCACAGTTGAAAAATGTATAATGCATTACTACTGTGGTCACACTTGTATGCAAATATGTCATTGAAGTTTCTTCTTTCTATTTAAGTGAAATGTTACATATGTTGATTGATATTTACCCCTGGCACATCAATCCCTTCTGCCTGCATCTGATAACACTAATTTTGCTCTACAAATCTATGAATTCAACATTGTTAGCTTCCACATATAAGTGAATCATGGAGTGTTTGTTTTTCTGAGCCTGGGTGATTTCCCTTAGCAGAGTCCTTCAGGAGCATCCATGTTGGTGCACAGTAAAGACCTACACCATTTCACCTCATTACCTTTACCCCTCATCAGATGAAGGAAACTAGGTGGCTTCTGATCTTAGCTATGTGAACAATACCACATTGAGGAGGTTGTGCAGACATTCAGTAAACCTATTTAGTGCTTTTGGAAACATACCTAGGGATGGGATTCTTCTATCAGGCAGTAACTCTTTTTATGTATTCATGATTTTATGTTTTGAGGGATCTCCATGTTCTTCTCCATGCTGGATATGCTAATTCACAATGATTCCTAGGGTGATTTTACTCTGCACCTCACCCACACTGTCACTTTTCAACATTTTGGCAGTAGCCATCTTAACTAATGTGAGGCAATGTCTCCTCCTTATTTTAATTGCATTTCCTGATGACTGATGATAATGAGACTTTTTTCATGTAGTCATTGGTGACATTTTTCTTCTTTTGAGAGATGTCTGTGCAGGTTCTCTGCCCATTCTTGGATTGGATTATCTGTTTTCTATGTATTTATTTGTTTAAGTCTCATATATTTGCATATTAGTCACATATCAATATATTTATTGCAAATATTTTCTCCCAGTCTATGAGTTATCTCTTCACTCTGTGAATATTTTTTCCTGTGTTGTGCAAAACTTTTGATTTAATGCAGCCTCACGTGAATTTCTGTGTTTGTGTGATTCACTTTTTGGCCAGTGCTTTAGCAGGGCTATTGGAGAGGATTTGCCCAGCTGAACGATGTGGTGCCCCCCCCCCCCATTCCCTTCCTGATTTGCACAGTACAATGTCTTAGGTGAAGTTCTTAGGTTCATTTTTGTGTATGATATTGGATAAGGATGCTGTTTCATTCTTCTAGTTGTCATTACCATATAATGTTGGCAGTAGGCTGGTCATAAATGGCTTTCACCATATTGTGATGAGGTCCTTCTGTACCTATTTTCTTCAGGGTTTTAATCATGAAAGGATGTTGCATTTTGCCAAAGATTGAGATTACCATGTGATTTTTCTCCTTGTTTCTCTTTATAGACGGATTATATTTATTGATTTGCATATGTTGAACCACCCTTGTATCCCTGGGATCAAGCCTACTTTGTCATGATATACAGTCTTGATGATTCATTGCATTCTGCTTGCAAGTACCTTCTTGAGGATTTTTGTACCTGCATTAATTAAAGAGATTGATCTATGGGTCTCTTTTTCAGTTGAATCCATTTCTGGTTTTGGAATCAGGAAATGGTAGATGCCAGAAATGACTTTGGGAGTACTCCTTCCCTTTTGATCTTCTTAAAGTGCATGAAGAGTATTGGTGCTATGTTTTCCCTGAAGTTTTCAGAGAATTCAGCAATGAATCCATCTAGACCCAGGCTTTTCTTACTTGGTAGGTTTTCTCTTTATTACTGTTTCAGTTTCATTGCCTGTTATTGGATTATGCAAGGAATTTATATCTTCTTGGTTCTTTTTTATATGGATCTAGAAATCTAGCCATTTCTTCTGAATTTTCTAACTTCTTGGTGTACAGGTCTTGCAAAGTACTTCTTAATAATCTTTCTCATTTTGGCAGTGTCCATTGTGATTTCACTTTTTTATTTCTAATTACATTGATTTGGGTTTTTTCTCTCCTTTTTTGGTTAGATTGGCTAAGGACTTGTCTATTTTGTCTACACTTTCAAAGAACTGACACGACAATTCATTGATTCTTTGTAATTTTTGTTTCAATTTTATTGACACAGAAACAGGTTAAAATCTGAGGGGCTAGTGGGCTCATGTCTCCCCTCAACATCGAGCCCCAAGTGACTGGTGCACATTAGGTTTGTTCACTCAGATTTAATTTGGTTTCCACAGGACTCATCTGTCTCCCACCTTCTATGGTACTTCTCTTGGCAAACAACTTAACCTCAGGTGGTTTTGATTTTCCCTGCAGTGTGTTCACATGCTTGCATGCCCTCTTTCTTCTCAGTCGTCAGAAGGAGGCCTCATTCTTCACATCTGGTCTCCCACAGAGAAACCTGGGCCAGTGTCTCTCCAAGGACACTGATATATGCCTCTATACAGAAGAGAGATGTTGAAGGCTGTGTAGAGGAGCCTGAGCCTGTAATTGACAAACTTGAGTTACAAGCAGCCCTTGCAAATGAATTGAGTTCATAAGTGAAGGATCCATTGTACTTTTAGAAGGTCTCTGAGAAGATATTTAAAAATACAGCAGGATTCTCCTTATTTCTTCTGTTATCTCCATGTACCTGTCATAACTGACACATTCCTGTGCCTTCTGAAATACATTACCAAATACTGGATTCTCCTTTTATAGATAGAATGTTCAGGATACATTTAGGGTCTGTATGAGGGACTATGTCTTTAAGAGCCTCTGAACATGGTGATCTGGAGTGTTACTGCCAGTTACTGATGTGCTTCCACAGTACTTTTAAGAATATGTTCTTTTTCATCAGGAGTGCAACAATGAGAAAACTTTGCAGTCTCATCCCTCAAAGCCAGACAGAAGTTATGCTCAACTCATTAAATTCACTCCTAAATTGATGAGAAACACTATGAAACCTTTGTTTACACTAAGTCATGGCTATCGCTGAGCAAAGAACATGTACTCTGAGAACTCCTCCATCCCCATCTGACACAACACATAAAGGATCAGACTCCCCTGAATAAAGTGAAGTATTAGATTGTTTCCTCATCTCAATCCTGATGGAATTTATGGGAAAGATAATGGTAAGGACAGAGGCAAAGAGTCATCTGCCTTGGCTGGGGATGAAAAGCAGCTAGAAGAGAACAGGAAACTATCAGCTCAGGAGATAGAGAAGGTAGCCTCTCATCGATGCAGCAAGGCCCCATACTGGACACCAGTCAAGCACAGATAAGTGGAAAAGTGTCTGTGGGCAGCAGGAGTCTTTCTATGTTGGGTTCTAGGGCCTAGGGTATTTAGAAACTGGAGCCATGCAAATAATTTTATAAAAATCTGTATGTAGTAATATCTCCCCACTTCCTTTTTACAAGCTAGAACCACCTGTGGAATTTTAATTCAGAGAACTATTCTTCAGGCAGAAATTCTAAATTAAACCATGACCAAACGTATAGATTATCAGCCTCTTTTTTTAAACCATCTTCTTAAATTTGTCACAGCAGGCATCTTGGCAGTGAGTTGTTGTAATACTCTGTGTGGCTTCCATGTTCTCTAGGAACTTTTCTAGATTAAGCATAAAAAATGTTGGACTCATTACCATTTTGGCCAATATCAGGGAGAAGAAAGCTATAGCACCAAACTCCACATGCAAAACTCTTTCATGTTACAAACCCTTAACACATCCACACAAAAAAGCACCAGAACACAGAAACACAAGGAAGGCAATAACAGTTGATGAGATTACAGAGATAGCACAATTAATATATCAGAACCAAAATTTTCCCACATAAATGCAGCCTAAAGAAATCACAAATCTCCTGCACAGATGCAAGATTAATGGAGAGCAGGCAGTAGCATAAATCAAATACAAGGAACTGGGAAGAACTCAGATCCTTTATCCGGAAAAGCCATTTTCAACAAGAAGGACCCAATGTTCTGCAGAGCCAGCAAATGAATAAAGTCCCCGTCTTGAAGAACACACCAAACCATGCCACAGAACCACTACCTTGGAAATGAAGAGGTACAGTCAAGCACCCAGTTAAATCCAAGCAATGAAGCCTGACACACCTGTCCCCCATTCACCTTGCACATGTCCACCTATGGTGGCAAAGCACTTTTTATGATTGCATTGCAACCCCCTAGTGAATATCCTGACACATGAGCAGGGCTTGTGGCTCTAACCCACTTTGCTGTAGATGACTATTGCCAACCTAAATCTGGGCAAGAATCACCAACAGGAGGGCCAAGTCAATCCACCAGTTCAAACAATGACAAATTTCAGATTAAATTCCACAAAATTTTAATTTCAAGTGTTACATGAAATCTTCCTCTTGAAGGGAAATTCAATTCCCCATAAAGGATAATTTCAAAATAATTATTTTGAAGGGGCAATAATGAAACTTATTAATTCCAAGTGGGATTTGAGTGGAGAGACTTTAAAAATACCCATAGTCTTTCACCAAGAAACAGAAAAGAGGAGGTTGGTGGAGATATCACAGACCTGTGCTGAGCCTCAGCTGCAGACATTTGGTGAAATCTTACTCTGTGAACTCAACTTGCACCAGTGCTTCACCAGTCCCCACGGTGTGGAAAAACCATTGTGTTCAATAAGGTGTTCAAAACCAAACCAGGCATTTCAATCTCCTCCAAAATTTTCTGAGGGGTAACAAATACCAAGCGTGCAATACTAGATCAAAGTGATGGTCTTGAGACAGGAGATAGACAGTGTGGGACACATCCTAGAGTTAGGCTCATGATAAACTTGATGCCTCCTGATTCTTGAAGAGCATATTTCCTTAACATGCTGACATGAGCCTGAGAAATCCCCTCAGGCCCTTATCACAATTCTTGACCACTGTCCTGAGCCCCAAAACACATGATCTATCTGGCTTGGGGAATCCAAGGGTGACCACATGGCCATTATGACATCACTAGCATTGTGAATTTGACATTCCTCCTCCACAGCCTTAGTCCATATTAAGGCAAACATGCTCCTCCTCATGTGAGGATGGAAATTCCCAACAGGACATAGTCCCCTTAATCCCACCACAAGACACAGGAAAGTTCCAATGAAACCTCAAAACCTAAAGCAGAAAGGACCACTCCAGTCAAACAAACTCTTGAGTTTTCTCATCAACCTACTCCCCACCTGAGCACTGTAACTTCCTTTAACAAATTTCTTCATCCTTACTACTTCTGGATGCTCTGCTCAATTCCTTGTTCAGGACAGAAAGAGCCACATTTATGGGATAAGACTGACATGAGCTATGGTTAACAGGTTCACATGATGAAGGAAAGATAATAAAAGAAGAATGGCATTGACAGATGCAGTATTTCATAACATCCCATAAAGTTGCCTCCTGAAAGGAAAATAAACATCTAACCAGGTAAAGAGCTTTATTTTCTACAGTAGTCTTGGGTACCCACATAAAGTATAGTACTTCAAATGTAATTAACTGTGAAAGTTTTAGGTAAAAATTCCCCTGGGGTGGTATCAGTCTGCCCTGTGCACAATTTCTCATAGATAGCCATGGAAACAACACAATGTGGCCACAGACTCCATATCCATTCATCTGTATGGTAAGTTTATTGTTTCAGGGTCTTCTCATCATCTCATGCGGGCAAGATGATTCTACAGACAAAGAAATCAGAAGATGGAAATTCCCTGTAGAGCGTTCATCTCTACACATGAGGCCTGAGTTAATGGTCTCCCTGCACTAGCTCAGGTCCCGCAGAAGCTGAGCCAGGCACCCTCAGGAGCCCCCTACTCATCACTCTCTCTCCTGCCTGGATTCTGATCACTCCCACCTTGCTCTCCATGAAACCCAACATCTGAAGAGAACCTGCCTAACAAGAGCAAGCCTGACCATCCACCAGAGGCCTCTTGCTAATGGGCCTCTTCTTTCTTCACCTCAAGGTGAGTGAGTGGAGGCAGGGTTGTCCTTGAGCAGGATGTTAAACTCCTTCTCTTCCAGTGACTCACACCATGGATCAGAGTAGAGATTATCTCACCTAATGAGCATGAGGTGTTCTTGGTAATGTATGGATAAAATCATAGGAACCAAAATGAAATCTTTAAGGACAAACTATTCTCAAGCCTACATATTACCACCAACACCCTATCACCGCACAAGTTTTCAAGTCCAAGAAAAGATGAAGTCTGAAAAACCACACATTGTAAAAGGTAGTGACAAAAAATATATAGCAAATTACTCCAGAATAGAAAAAAAATAATAAACAGCATACACTGCATGTAGCATCCATGAAGCATTGCACTGGACAACAAATTAAACACAGCAAAATGGGACACATAATGTGCCATTCTGTGTTCTGAATAATGATAGAGACAAACAGTTTGAGAAAAGTTAAATTTCTGCAAGTTTAGAGTGTTGGGAAAAATTGGGGGAGAAAAATTGGACACAGTTTGTATGACAAGTGAAAGAAATGTCACTTGCCAGTGGCAATAGATATTAACCATATGTGAATCCAGATACTGATTATGCATTCATTAAATAGTTGCTACAAACAAAACCAAGGCACTGGGAAGGCAGAAACCTTCAATTTGATTCCAACTCCCAAAGCATGGGCACACAGGAGGGCAGGGAGAGTGACACAGCGGTGTCGGAACTGACAGTAATAATGGAGGCAGAGGGGGTGGTGGGACAGTGCAGAGGAAATGACACTCATCCAGGGGTTGCAGAAGACACTCTCTCCAGCAGGAGACTGGGTCAGAGGGAGAGGCAGAAGCCAGCTGTGCAGGGGGCCGGGCTGAAGTCTTTCTGTAGGAGGTGGGGGCAAGCAGTGCAGAGGAGAAGGCTGATGGGGAGGAAGTGGGGGCAGTGCAGGGGCCACATCAGAGATGGAGCTGGTGTCACGTGGATGTCACCAAGAAGCAGGCACTGATGCCCTGTGGAGATGCCACTTGCCCCTCTATTCCTTCTGCTTTGATGGAAGGATTCAGTCCTGTCACACAGGCGTCCCTGCAGAAGTACAGGTGGAATCTATAATAGAATTAATGTACTGAGATTTCAGCCTTCAAGCAAGAAGGTGGGCAGTGCCACCCTGTGTGAGGTGCGGTATCTTTCAGTCACAGAAGAATTTCTTCATGTGACTGCAGTGCTTGTTGACCAAACGAATTTGAGCTGACTCTGGAGCTGCCAGATGTATTCCTGCTCATTTCAGATGGTCAGTTTTCCCTCCAGAGCCTTAATCATGGAAGAAAGAGTGGAACAAATTTACAAAGTATAAATTCTAACTTAACTCAGGTCTCAGGCAAGCAGGAGGGTAAGTAAAGTAAGTCCCCTTTCTGTTGCAGGTTGGCAGAGGCTATGCAGCAGGATGCTGTGTGCCTGTTTCTCCACATGGAGGCGCTGTGTCCTTGGGTTTGACACCTAATAATTGATTGAAAAGTGTCACACCCTGAGGTCAGGGTTTCCTCCTTTATCTGTAACAAGCACAACACGATACTTTGAACCCACTTATTCCTCAGGCCCACAGATTTCGAACAACCTGCCCAACTGTGGGGCTGTTTTGTGGGTCCAAGTGGGCTTCAAAGCAATGAATGATAAAATGAGAGCTGTGAATCCTTGGGATCCTCAGACGGGGAACCCTAAGGAATGGAAAAGGCTGGGTGTGTTTGAAAACAGGACTGTCTCTGTGGCTGGCAGTGAGTCAGATATGGCAATGAGGAGATCCGTGATTGGCCTGGAACTCTTTCCTGACTTCAAGAGGAGTTAATGTCTTTAATTCTCAAATGCTGGTGATACAAATAGAAACAAATCAGTTGTCATTGTGCTGATACACAGTGAGAACACTTGAAAAAAGTAACTTCTGCATTTTGGCCCCAGGTTTATTTTACATAAGACAATGAAAATTAACTGCACTGCCATTAATGACAGGTTTTACTTATTTAAGTTAGATTGGTATTCAGTGTTTGTAGTTTACCACACTTTGCTACTCGTACATGGCTGGGAAAGTGCTGATTCTGCATTTTGGTGCTTGTGAATAGTGCCTCAGTGACCATCAGAGGGAAATGTCTCCACAGCAGCCTGGTTCCTTTCCTCCGCACACGTCCCCAGGAGTGAGACTGCTATCTCATAGAATGGTCCTATTCTTAATCTCTTGATAAGTTCTAAAGCTGCCCCCATAAAGACTAACCTTACCTTCCCAACAACAGCGTTCTCCTTTCTCCATACTATTGCCAGATTCTGTTATCTTTGCTTTTCTAATAACAGCCCCTCCAGCAGAAGTGAGTTGAGAAAGATAAACACTCCCTGCTCTCACTCACAGGCAGAGCTGAAATAGTTAATCTCCTAGAAGCAGAGTGCAGGGTGGGGGTTACCAGAGGATCAGGCAGTGGCTTCTTCAGGGTTGGGATGACCAAGGTCACAGGTGCAGAGACACAGCCACCCAGGAACCAGGAGTGGACAAGATGTGTGATGCAGCATGGGGACTATGGTTAGTGGTGATATATTGTACTCTCAACAGTTTAGAAAAATGGATGTTAAGTGTTCTTATCACAAAAAGAACAATGGGTGATAATACACAATTTAATTAACAACATTTAAGCTTTTCACAAAGTATTCTCCAAAATGTTGTGCTGTATATAAAATGCATATAATTTTATATCTCTTTTTATAAAAACATTTGGAAAAATATCTTTATGACTGCTTTATAGATTTTTAATAAAGTTTTCCTAACTAATACATTTTTAGTTACATTTCCCTCTCTTCCAAATGCAAACTCGTTTCTAAAGTAATACTATTTCTGTGTAACAGGGGTGTTGTCAAAGTGCCCAGACTTTCAAATCCATCTCTCTAGGGCACACTTCCATACTCCTACTCAATTCTGCTGGCAAACACTCCAGTAGAGCAACTTAAAATATTCCCTAAACAAAGAAATAAGAACCAGATATACCTTGGAAATAGAAAATACTAATTTTCTTTGAATGTCTTGTCACAGACTATATTTCCACTAATCAGGAAAATTCCCAAGATTTTCTAATTTCCCCACTGATCTATTTGTCTTACCTGTGGGATCAAAGAAAATGTTCACAATTTCCCAGCCAAGGTTCCCGTCTCCTGTAAGGGGGAAGTTGCATGTAAACAGCACCCTACTGGAGTGTTAGCTCTGTGTCCTGGCAGATTTGTGTGTCCTTCAAGGGCGGTGTGGAAAAGAATCAGCAGACCCTGGCTCTGTCATGGAAATGCTCTGCCCTCTCCTGTGGGTGTCCCACTGTATCCCCAATGCAGGTTTCTCTGTATTTAATACACATGTGTGCCATTTTTATCACCCCATAATTAAATACATATCATGTGGGAGCTGTGCCAATCCTTGGCCAAGAGATGAAAATGATGGAGGCTCATTTGGAGGCTCAGCACAGCAGAGGGTTCTTATCTCATGATAAGACAACAATATTCAAATACTATCCACAGAACTGCTGTCTTCTGACAGTGTACCTTGTGTTAGTGATTTTGCTTGTTCAGTTCACATTCACAAGGACAATTTTTTCTAGAAGAACAAAATCATCAGTTTCCCTATATCTGCTATGCCCACGTATGTTGTTGTCCACTGCATCTTCTCTAAACTCCAGAGAGGTGGATATTTTAGTGCAATAAGTCTAACAATGAATGTGGTGACATCCTTTGGACTAAGTCCTCAGCTGTCACACCTCATGTGTCCAGCTGGAAGACCATGGACTCAGAAAGGGTTACTCCAAGTATAAACACTATGCCCATTGTCTATACCACCTGTGCCACCATATACACGGTGCCCACTTATGGCAGACAAACCTCACTCTCCCAGTCATCTTACATACATATTTGTTTGTATATAACTTGAACTGTTACTATCTCTTAACAAAGACCAAGGACCTCCTAACTTTGGCCAGAGAGAAGATGGAGAACTCTCGGAACTCTCAACCTGGGAAGGTTCTTGATGTCTCATTACAGAAAAAAATTTCAGAACAGTCACTAAGAGAACTGGGCTGGGTTAGTAGACATAGTTAGAAAGTAAGAGAACATTCAGAAGAGACTTCAAATTAAGGATCTGAAGCAGGCACAGATGTGACAGAGAGGAGCACAGCACACAATGGAAAGAACCAGTAAATTAGAGGATAGAACGATGGACACTGTTATGTCTGGAGTTCAGAGAGATACAAAACTGAAGAAAGAGAGGAAAGATTTACAGATATGTGAAACACAATGAACCAGAAAAACATGGCATTGGGGCAGAACTGAAAAAGAGAGAAAGGGGCCAGAGAAATTTGAAAAAAAAAATGGTGGCACACCATTTTCTAGATGGTTAAGGATGAGAATATACAGAAAGTCAACAACAATAAGAATACACTGAAAGAGATCCTCACCAGATATAATTGCTCCAGAAAAGACCAAACACATAGTGAAATTTGCAAGAGGCAAGAGTGAGGTGACTTCTCACGTGTAAACAACCTTCAGGGAGAATGGCAGGGAGGTTTCACACCATAAGCTTTGTTATCAATAACTAACAAGCCTTGGTGAGAATGTTAAAAATCAGAGTCCTGGGGCACTGAATGGATATGTACAATGCTACAGCTGCTACCAAACAAAACATAAATAGATAAAAAGAGAAAAACACAGGATGAAGCAATTGTATTCCAGGAACATACTCAAAGAATTGGAAGCAGACTCCTGCAGAGGTATTCGTGCACCAAAGTCCATACAAGCACTATTCACAATACCCAAAATATGGAAGCATCCAAGAGAGCATTGGTAAGTGAATGGTATGAGCAAAATGTAGAAATCATGTATAATTAAGTCTTAATCTACCTTCAAAACCAATGAAAGGCTGACCACAGCATAGATTGATCTCAATAACATTGTATTAAGTCAGGTGTCCCCAAACCATTGGAACCGGGCCTCACAAAAGGAGGTGAGCTGAGATTGCTGAAGGAAAGCTCTACCTGTATTCACAGCCACTCCCCTTCTCTCCCATCACCAGCTGAACTCTGCCTTCTGTAGGATCAGGGAGACATTAGATTCTCATAGGAGCATGAACCTTATGCCCATGTGAGAAATCTAAATTGCACATTCTTTATAAGATCTAAATCCTGATGATTTGAGGTAGAGCTGAGGCCAAGATGCTAGCACTGGGGAGGAACTGCAAACACAGATGAACATTAGCAGAGAAGTTTCACTCCAGAGACCATGATAAACTGATTGCTTGCAACATTTTATCAAAACTCTCCTAGCTGCAGCTACTGGCAAGCTCTACAACAGCAAGTTAGGTGATGTCCTTCAATTGTATAGCTGCATCAGGTGGTAGGTTTTAAGTGAGAATCAAGGATTAGTTTAGCCTGTGGGTGGCTCACCCATTTATATTTTCCATGTCCATCCGTGACTCTTACCTGCACTGTGCACTTGTATCAGTCAATATTTTTCCATTAAGTTTATGAGTATATTTTAAGTATACAATTCAGTTACATTCATCGTTGGAATCTTGCACTTTTACATGATGTATCTTGGTTCATATTTTTTCAAATTCCCCTACCCTACCTTCATCTCCTCCACCCTTCCCTATTTACAAAGACAATTTTTGCATTGCTTCCTTTTCTTATATTTTTTCTTTTTCCTTCTGTCCTTTCCCCTACCCCTCCCACGTCCCCTATTCCTTTAGAACTTTTCTTCCCATTTCATAATATCAATTATACATTTTGGTCCTTATTTACACTTTTAGTTTTTCACACCAGAGAAACTATTCAGTATTTACACATGTGTGTCCTATTAATTTCAGTTAAGAGCATGACCTCAATGTGTATTACTTAACTATAGATGTCTCTAGTTTCTTATTATTTATGGCTGAGTAGTACTCCATTTTATAGAAATAAAAAACATCTTCTTTATCCAGTCTGCAGTTGATGGGCAATTGGGCTGTTTCCAAGTTTTAGCTATTACAAACTGTGCCACTATAAGCATGGGTCAACATATATCACTGTGGAATGATTCTTTTAATTCTTCTGGGAAGATACCCAGCGAAGGAATAGCTGGGTCAAATGGGACTTCTAATTCTAGTTGTTTGAGGTATCTCTATATTGTTTTCTACAGTGTTTACACCAATCTGCACTCCCACCAACAATGAAGAATGATTCCTTTGTCTCCACATCTCTGACAGCATTTGCTATTGGTTGATTTCTTGATAGCAGCCATTCTTTCTGGGGTGAAGTGTAATCCCACTGTTTTCATCTGCATCTCTCCAATGACTAATGATGTTGAACATTTTTTCATATGTTTATTTGCTGCCTTTCCTTCTTCTGAGAAATGTATTTTCATTTCCAATGCCCATTTTGAATTGGGTCTTTATATTTGGGGTGTCTGATTTATTTAGTTCTTTATATATTCTAGATAGTAGACTTTTGTCTGAGGAACAGCTAGTAAAATTTTTTCCTACATTGTAGATTGCCTCTTAGCTCTCATGGTAGTTTCTTTTGCAGTGCAGAAGCTTTTTAACAAGATGAGATCCCAGTTGTTGATTCTCGGTGCTAGTTCCCATGCTGCTGAGGTTTTGTTCATAAAGTCTTTTCCTATGCCAATATCTTCGAGTGTTCTACGTAACATATCTTTCAGCAAGTTTAGTGTTTCTGTTTTCATATTTAGATCTTTAACCCACTTCAATTTTAGTGTAGTGCACAGTGAAAGATAGGGTCTACCTTTAATCTTTGGCAAGTTGAAATCTAGTTTTTCCAACACCATTTATTAGAGAGACTATCTTTCTTCCAGTGAGTGTCTTTGGGTGCTTTGTTGAAAATGAGGAGGCTCAGTGTGTCTGGAGTTGTTTATGCATCTTATAATCTGTTACACTGGTCCTTGTTTCTGTTTACTTGCTGGTACCATGCTGTGTTTATCATAGTAGTTTTGCAGTACAGTTTCAAGTTGGGGATTGTGATATCCCCTACTTTGTCTTTAATGCCTAGAATTGCTTTTGTTATTCTAGGCCTCTTCTTGTCCAAATGAATTTTTGGATTGTTTCCTCATGGTCTGTGAAGTATGATGCTAGAATTTCAATCAGGATTGCATTGAATCTATACAACAGCATTGGATTTATGTCCATTTTCACTATATTGGTTTTTCCTACCCAGGAGCAAGGAACTTTTTTTCATTTTCTTATATCCTCTTCAATCACTTTTTTCAGAGTGTTGTAGTTTTCAAGGTAGATGTCTTTTCCTTCCTTCATTAGATTGATTCCCAGATATTTCCATTTTGAGCTGCTGTTGTAAAAGGCAATGTTTTACCAATTTTTCTCTCAGTGAGTCTGTTATTTGTGTACAAGAAGGCTATTGATTTTTGACTGTTGACCTTGTATCCAGATATTCTAATGAATCTGTCAATTAAGTCTAAAAGACTTTAACAGCTTTTTGGGTCTTCCATGTAGCTTCCATATTTTGGGTATTGTGAATAGTGCTTGTATGGACTTTGGTGCACAAA